TTGTCTGCTGGGTATTAGTTCAAGGGATTTAGGGAACTTCGTTCGCGGAAGATCGTCAGCGGGAGATTCGCGGAAGATCGTCAGCGGGAGATTGTTCGCGATGTAAGCAATAATAAAATGCAGTTTTCATATCAGTTCAAGGAACTTAAATTGCGGAAGATCGTCAACGGGAGATCAATATTTTAACTCCCTGTAAATTTTTAGGAAGTTAATACAGATGGTATTTTTAGAAGGCCTGATACTCAATCCTGGGAAAAGTCCTGCATGCAACAAACGTTCCCATGTGCGTATTTTTTTTTTTTTTAACATGTCGCGTCCAGGTTATAATGCAAGGTTGCAATTAGGCTTATCTTGATCCTTCTCCTCTATCAAGAGGTATGTTTCTTACCGAGAAAATAATTCTCAACATGTTTTCGGGTACAGTAAGTTAAATATAACTTAATCGAGATGCACTAATAAATAGATTATTATTTACCACCAGAAAATGACTTAGGAAGTAGTAATAATTATCCCACCATATAGAAGGGTCAAAGATAACAGTCGCTAAGGATGAAAGCCCAAAGGCCGGATTTTTGAAAATTTCGTCATACCCAGGAGTCGGGGAGAGGTAATTTTGAAAAATTAGTCGGATTTACTCAATTAAAAATATTAATTAATTTTTAAGCGACGAAATTTTCAAGACTTTACCGTACTTGTTAGGCTTAGGTGACAATAGCTGTTCGCTTGCTTCTCGACACCTCTTGTGAAGCTGTAATTATATAGGCAATAATAACAGGAAATCTTAAAGATATATATATATATATATATATATATATATATATATATATATATATATATATATATATAATTTTTGTCTTACGTTTAGCTAATAATGGTGTTATCAATGACGCATTTATCTGTTATAACCTTACATGTTCCATTGAAGTCACACCTGGGGCTAGGTATACAATATATAACTTTTGCCCGAAAACTGGTCTCCTCTGTTCGAAATAATACCTATAGTGATTCACTTACGTAAAGAAAATATACACAATATTGGCCTGAATAAAAACAGAAACATAAAGACTATCTGGCCTTTGTTGTGACTTTTCTAACGTGCACCGTTCATGGTAGAAAACAGAGTCAGTGTTTCCTTATCATGTATTTAACTATAGGCCTAAAGACGACTCAGTTGTTGATTTTAAAGTTTTGACCAGTTTATGCTAAAGATCCTATGTGAAACAGACCCCTAGGTGCGTTAAATATCAGTATACAATAAATGGTCCATTTGACTGAGTTTTCCATACTCAATTTTTTTTATTCTACACGCTTTATTCAAAACGCTTTTCTTCAAACAAATTTCTAAATTTTGAACAGCCCGGCTGAAACCTAAATTTTTCTCGTGCACCTAAAGATCACCCCGGCGTCCAGAGTTAACTGGTAACGACAAGGGCTGCCGATTATCCAACTTTGTTGTAAGTAATCTCCTCATTCCAGGGTATGTTTGGCCTGTGTAACAAAAATCAAACAGTAGATGCACTGGCAAGGGTGCCGTAAAACGAATTCATCCCGGTCTGGAAAAGAGGGTTACGATCCTGGAAATTTCAAAATGCAAAGTGCGACTCCGGATATTTCAAAATATTTAAAACGTGATTCTTGGGTATCAAAGCGTGTCTTAACTTTTTTAGGCGTGACAGAGAAGGGGCTGAATCCACCATGTTGTATTTTAAAAAGGGCCGGGGTGAATCCATGCGTTTCTTGGTGTGACAACACAATGATTTGCTGTTTTTTGCCTCATTCTCAATGGTCTCGCAGATGGCAAAAATGAAATTCAGCTGAAACTAAGACAAGCAATAAAATAAAGGCATAACAATAGCATAACAAGAAAGAAATATTGCAGAAAAACTTTAGATAAATGCTTTGAATGACACCTATCAAGCGAGCACGTGGATTTTTAAAATATACCGCCATTTAATGAATAATGATCCCTATTTTTATCAGTTGCTCACAATTTCATAAAAACTACTGCTAAACTGCTATACAAGACCATCGTTCATTAACTTAGTCCAACATTTTTCAAACGAGAATCTTATAAGCTGTGAGACACCCAGAGGACTATGTAATATCTGTTTGCTGTCCATTTGTCTGAATTCTGGAGCATAAAGAGCATTATTCAGAATGAGAAAATCAGTATCCTGTAAGTCACGTGCTAAATCACGTGAGGACATCACGTCATTATGATCAAATTGACCCCAAGTCCGAGAGGCGTCCATTTTGTAAACCTTGAGTTTTTGTGCTGTGGTCAAGTTCTTGAACAGTGGAATAAATAAATCGTATGCCAATGCTGGCCACGAAAAGGGATCTTTTCCCGCCTTCAGCGATTCCTGCGAATTTTTTAGATCAAATAATCTGTTCATTTCTCTAACCCACTCCATGGTTAAAGAAGTATGGGCGCGGATGGGCCCGAGGTTAGAAGTATAAACACCATTTTTATCGTCTTCATAAGCGATAAAATCGTACTTAGATAACAATTCATGATCGCTCTTCGCACTTTTGAAACTGAGGGTGTCAACGTCGAGATATATGCCGCCATATCTGTCTAACATGGTGGCGCGAAAGTAATCCGCCTTGTGATTGGCAGTTAGTGAATCGAATGCAACATTCACGTGTTGGAGACTTCTTTTAAACTCCGTGTTGTTCAAGAGATAAATACTGAAATCTTGATAATTGTGGCAGAATATAGACAAGATGCACAGCTCTATGTATGCAGGATACTTTGGGCCATCCCAATACATGAATATTAAGGGCTTCCCGTCGATCTGGTAATCACCAGTTTTATTACTCAGATGAGCGAAATTATCATCATACCATTTGACACCTGCGGTATTTAAGTGCTTCCTTAACACTGTCCGAAGGCGAAGAAATTTCTTGTATATGCTTACGTCATTTATGTTGGCAACATTTCCGTCGTTATTGGGTCTTGTGCTAATACGAAGATCGTCTGTTAGTAACGGTGGACCTTGCAGACCTTGGGGGGTCGTTTGCGGGGTGGCGTTTCCATCGTAACACGCACGTAACGTACTGGGGATCGTCTGCACTGATTGAAGACGCAGGCAGTACTGAAGCATATTATGGAGCTCTATTTGACTCCTGTAGGCTCTGTACAATGTGGCCAAGAATATAAACACCATAAATAGTACTACCCAAAGTAGCTCTCTTCTCAGTACAAAAATTTTCATCGTCTTGCCGCGGTCGACACTCAATTTAAACTTAAGCCTACTGCATGATCCTTAAAATACAGGTGTCATCTTCACGTTATTGCACCACTCAGGGCGACACAATGTGCTGACAAAATAAAAATGTTTCCGCATCCAAAAGTCTTTGCCACGGTAGGATATTCATATATGAGACATGTTTCCATCAGGCTCAGTTTAACTTGAACCTAGTTATATATAGGGGGCCTATAGTTTAAATTCCGATGGCTCGAACTAAAATGAAACATCCTCAATGCTATTCCACATTCCATCTATTGACTATTCAACTCATGGTAGGGGTGGGATATGGCAATCACGAGTCCGGCTTACTAAGCTTAAGTTAAACTTGATAACAACTGGGCGTGAATGGAAATAATGTGCATTTTAGTTTGTGAAAATTGCAAATTGGGTGAAAAGTAATGTGTCTAAAGTACCATTAAGGGGTGCAATAAAATTGAGAAGGCCTCTCTCATTATACCATGGCCTAGCAGCATGTAGGGAAAAGGCGCACGGTGAGAGGAGACTCCTGTTAAGTTTAAGTACTTAAAAATAACTGTAAAAAAATACAGGTTATTGTAAAGAAGTATGCCCTGGATTTAAGTGCAAAACTTCCGGCTTAATCTAGCCAAACTCAGATCAAGGTGGGGGGGGGGGGGGGGGG